ACATACACTAAATATTTCTTTAAAATACATCAATACCCCATACATACCAGCAGAACATGAAAGAAAGCACAAGTCAGACATTTCTTTTATACAGCATAACATACACATTACAGTATTGACAATTTCAAACCAACAGCTGCTTCAAAAAAACTACCAATAACCTTGTGCAAACATGAGAATACTTCTGCATGTTAGGTCCCAGGAGACAGAATATTTATTCTACAGATCAAACCATTGTTGTGCTACTTCTGCACAAAATCAGGCCTTCAATGCAATGTATAGAGAGAATTATTATGTTCATTTAGACTTCTTTAAAAGCAAGATTTTTAAGAAGTGTGATTCCTGTCATACTAGATTTATTAAATTTGATGTTTAGGAATATTTTGGTCATTTTTCTATATTCTGCTGCATCAAGTCAGAGTCATTTCTGAAATCCTTTAAACAACACATTTCAATATTTCACCTTGCTGTACATGAAGATGTCAAGCAGAGGAATTAACTCTTGGCTTAAAAGTCAATCCAATGTACTGTCTTCACTGGAGCAATCACTCACTTGCTCCATGAATTACAATTAAGAAGTATGCTAACAAGAATGACTAGAAGTACTTGATAGTCAAACATTGGGTGTATTTCTTTGAGCAATGAGATCCACAAAAAAAAAGCCTCCTTTACCATGATCCATGCTAAGGATTACATTGAACTAAGGTACAACTGACAAATAGCCACTGATGTATTCAATATTAAAACACAATTATTTCTGGAAAACCCACTTCACATTTGCTGCTTTTTTTAAAAAAAACACATGAAGAAGGAAAATTGATTTTTTTTAATGCCAAGAAAACTATACTAACACCACCAATATAAAATAGAATAAATGAACTCTAAATTTAATTATTTTGGAATACTCTGAATACTCTTGATCAGATTGATCAGCCCTGTAGAAATAACTGGCTAACTACGGAGAGATTATTGGACTGTCAGTAACAAGCCGAATCAACTCCATTCACACCTCAATGTCCTCACAATAGGACTGATAAAACAGACTATTTGCACTTACAGCTCAACTTGCAATGAGCCTTCAGCAATGTGTCAGATGAAATTTAATCCAAACAAGTGTGGTTTCTTTCCTTTTGCCAGGAAGAATGAGGCAAGGCAATAGAAACGGAAGGGACACATTGCTGAAGCTTTCCATCTTGCACTCATCAGGATAGGCAGAGGAATCCCAAGAGTCAAAGGGAACGACAATTTATTCTGCATGAGTGACATGGTGCTATTTGGTTGGCACGTGGACTCTCATTGTGTGAGGCATGTTAAGGAGATTGCACCCAGGAACAATTACCCGAAGCTTTTGTTTAAATGCAAAAAAGGCAATTCGACTCTGGCTCACTTGAGGTTGCTAAAACCTATTATACAGAGCCTGGTATTTTAAAAGGCAAAAGGAATTTGTCCCGGCATTACGTCTTTTCAATTAAAGAATTAATTGGGGGATTCATTGTTTCCTGCTGTATTCCCCATGACACTGCGTAAACCTGAGTATTAAAATGAATAAATTAGCTTTTTTGTTTACCAAATTAATTCTATGTGGGATGTGGACATCACTGGCAAACCAGCATTTGTTGCCTTTCCCAAATTACCTGTAATCTGAGATAACAAGGTGCAGAGCTGGATGAACACAGCAGGCCAAGCAGCATCAGAGGAACAGGAAGACTGACGTTTCGGGCCTAGACCCTTCTGAGTTGGCAAGCTAAGCCATTTCAGAAGGGTATTAAGAGTTAACCACAATGAGTCACAAGTGAGCCAAAACAGGAAAGGATGGCAGATTTCCTTCCCTGAATGACAGTGAAATGACATGAATTTCTTTTTTGTGGTTACTATTTACTGAGACAAGTTTTATTTATCAATGCAATTTAAATTCCACCAACTGTTGTAGGATTAGAACCCATTTTCCCACAGGATTAGTCTGGACCTCTGGATTACAAGTCCAGTGACAGTACCATACTGCTGTCTCCACTTCTAAAAAATATCTACTTTAACCAAAACTACTTAAAACGCCCTGACATACAATGTAGTGGCTAGACACTCAACATTCCTTATGTTAGAACAAACATGTTAGAAAAACACCAGATGTCAGCCAGCATTTGTACAGGGAGAAACAAGAGCTAATGTTTCAGGTTGCTTCATCAGATTAGAAAAAAAGCAAGAAATAAAGGTTTTTTTTAAACCAGTTTAAGTGGTGTGGGATGTAAAAGAATGGAGAAGATCTGTGATGGGATCAAGGAGAGAGGAGATTAAATAACAAAAGATTTCAAGACAACAGGTAACAGCTCAAAACAGTGCTATTAAATATAGGACAGAAACAAAGATTCACATGGGGCTTAGTCCAACACGTTTATTTGAAATCACAAGTTTTTAGAGCGTTGCCCCTCGTCAGGTGAAGTTTGATTTCTGACCTTGTCCACCCCAGTTCAACAACGGCACCTCCACATCAACAAATGAGGCTTGAACAACTGAAAAACCCAACAGAATGCAACATTAAATGATAAAGAACGTGCTTAGGCAACATCAACCAGCAAAGCAAAAAAGGAATAATACGCAGCACAGAACGGAGTCAGAGATTATGATTCAAAATTGCTGACAGCAATTTTGAGATTTTTAAAAATGTTAACTTCCAAAAACGATTTCTAAATATCTACTCTGACACATGTCTAGAAGTCAAGTATTGAAAACGATGCTGGCCTACACCTTAAAACAAGATTTCAAACAATACATTTCAATATCTTAAAATTACACATGGTGTTTTGCAGCGGGTATGGCGATTCATTTTATAAGATTAGTGCAGATACTAACATTATATTTCTGTAGAGCGTAATAACAAAATGTCATTTAGCCAAAACTAATATTTAAACGCAAGAAAATCTGCCAAACAAAACACTTAAAAATTCACACCTTAGTTCGACATAACTTACCTGTTAGCCACAATTTTTTTTGTAACAATGCAGGTACCAATAAAAGGTATACTAAGAGAAATGATGTATAATGATCAGCATATGATGTATAATAGAAAATCCTGAAATGGGCAATTATTAATCTGTTTCAAACAGAAAAAGGGCAGATTTTGATCAGCTGAAGAAACAAGACAGAATTATACAACTTCCCTAATTTTTATTTGCATTAGGGGCAGGTTTAAGATGTATTCATGCTCAGTATCACCAAAAGAACTGCGGATGCTGTGAATCAGGAACAAAAACAGAAGTTGCTGGAAAAGCTCAGCAGGTCTGGCAGCATCTGTAAAGGAAAAAATCAGAGATCACATTTCAGGTCCGGTTCTGAGGAAGGCTCACCGGACCCGAAACGTTAATTCTGATTTTTTCTTCACAGATGCTGCCAGACCTGCTGGGCTTTTCCAGCAACTTCTGATTTTGATCTCAGCATCACCCCCTGACATCCCAAATAATGTTTCTGTAGAAAAAGATATAAAATTTAATTTTGAAAGTAACTTGAGAGCTCAGTTAACCTATACTTAATGTGTATAGTTATTATATACCAGGTTTCACAATTAAGGGTCAAGAACAGATATTATAAGGTAAATAAAAATAAGGATTATCAACTTTGACAATAAGACGATGCAAATTTCAAGTAGCAGTTTAATGAAACCGCTCTAAAAATGTTCACAGAAATTGCTAGTGAAACGCAGCAGATCTGGCAGAATCTATGGAAAGAAAAAAAGAGTTATCATTTCGGGTTCAGTGACCTTTCTTCAAATCTGTTTTCTCACTATACATGCTGCCGGCCCTGCTGAGTTTCTCCAGCAATTTCTGTTTTTGCTTCAGATCGCCAGCATTCACAAACCTTTATTTTATCTAAGATTATTTACATTGGTTTCATAAAGACTATTATGGTGCCAATATCTATGCAATGGACAGGTTATTAGCCTTATTTGAATGTTGCATGATGCAGAAACAATCACATTCTGTTTTTGTATATTGAGATTTTGGAATAGAGCACTACGAAATAAACTGCGTTGTAAGCTAGTGTCTTACTAAATATGGAAATTGTTTATGATAACTGAATTACTACACAGTTTCAGAATGCAGTTAAGGTTTAAATGAGGAACTTCAAGTCGACAGTTTAAGCAAAATACGATTTGGGACTAATTTACAATCTTCGTGGAGTTTTTAAAACGTACAAAATTATCTGAAATGAACTACGGGAAAAGTATTTTGCATTCATCAATGCAGCAATAAAGTCGTAAGTTATCTGCTTTTGGTCAAAGTGTGTCAGGCAGAAATAAGACAAAAGTAAACATTTGGAGAAGTTAACTGAAGGTAGTAAGTATGGATTTTTTTTTAACCTTCATTTCAGAAAACTGCTTCTAACAAAATTTTCAGGTCACATTTTCTTCCCTAATGTAGCCCCAGTAACTCCTGAATAGTTAGTGTGGCCTTTCAAGCCTATAGTCACATTTATTTCTTCACCACTATCATGATGAAAGCAGTGCAGTGCAGTTGTTGTGTTTAGTACTTCCTGTTTGCCAGCAGCTGATCTAGATTTTTTCTTAATCCAACACATGTTTTCAACTATTAGTAACTGTAGAAGATGACAAATAACTAAATAGAGATGTTTAGGTTTGAAAACTTGATCCTGTTAGTTGAACAGTCAGCTAGATATGCAACTAACCTTGCAGTGCACTACATCATTTCTGCATCGTTAAAAAGAGAACCTCTAGAGGATTTCTCCCAGACCCTGAAACACACCGGGCAATGGCAAGATTCTTAACAGAAAAGAGCCAAGTTTGCATCCAAGATTTGAACAGCATGCTGAGAATCCACCAGTGAGCCGCAACAGGACTATTTGCATACATTAACATCTCATCAATGCCTATTTGCACCTTATTGATATGCAATTTGCTATTCTACAACACACTATGGAGAAAATAGACAGCAACAATTTCAAACATGAAAGTCTGAGTAGGTATCTGGTGGTTCCAACTCATTGCCTACTCTTCTCGGTCTCCATCTTGGCCAGCCCTTTCCAACCTACTGGGGCAAGCTCCATGGGTAGAAACTGCCTGCACCCTCGCCATGGTAGTTGGCATTCAATACAAACCAGTCTCATCATATCATCATGGCACATCTCTGACTCTCAAACTACAGTTCTCTACTTCAACGCTGCATTTTGGAGTGCACAGACACCTTGCATTGTTGTGATGCCATCAAGCCACTTTGTGTGGAGGGAAAAGTAGCTGTCTTGCTCATCACATCAGGATAGATCTGAGTTCTTTACTTTCACTCTTAGCATTTGCTCACTTTACACCTGCTTGGATGCTCACAGCATGTCTGCCTTGCCTTGCAGCCTCATTCAGAACTTAAATTCAGGCTCATAGCATTTGGTATCATCCTACATTTAGCTTGTCATACTAGCTAACAGAGATCTATCAAGGGGAATGGACATGTTGCTGTACAACCATAGGCTAACATCAATGTCACACCGATAGCACATGCCTGCATCTTATACAGCAAACACATGGCTATTTTGCTGAAGCATATGTAATGTCTCAGGGTCTAAGGGGAGTAGTCATTAGTCAAGGTGGAGCTATCATCAGGCAGGGGTGTTGTCACAGACAGTCAAAGGTAGCATCCAATCTCTGTCCAGGAGCTTGGTTAGTCAACCACGTGGGGTAGTCAGGGCCAGGGGTAAATTATCACTACATTCAGGGGAGTAGGCCACGGTCAGTCTTGCGGGTCCAGTGCAACCAGTCCAGGGATTAGCAGTATGTCAGTTGGGAAGTTGCAGAGAGATCAATTCGGAGACTAGTCACTCTTAAGTTGGAGCTGTCCTTCCAATTCAGTTAATCAGGGGAGGTGAGCTGCAGTATTTCATGAAATTTAAGCTGCGTAGGAGGTAGGTTGTGAAGATCAACTTTACAGATTGGAGGCACTATGCTGGGATGTAGAGGGGTCAATAATTGAGATGGGGGCAACTTACATATAAAGATGAGATACAATTAGAAGATATGAATTTCTGCTTTTGGGGTGGGTGGTTCATTGTCAGCTGCTACCACCCTAGCTTCAATGGGGGCATCGGGGAGTGACAGGTAAAGGAGGATACTCTGTTTCCACTAGTTGGGATTACATCAGGAACTAGGGGTCACAATTTCAAGACTGTCAGCGAGACAGCGAGGACTGATATAAGGAGAAACGTCTTCACTGAGTTGTTAGGAATCAGAATGTGCTCCATGGGAGAGTGGTGGAGGTAGATTTCACAGGTGATTTCAAAACAGAGCTTGATATATATTTGAAAGTGATTAATTTCAAGAGCTACAGAGATAAGGCTGGAGAATGGGACGAGGTGGGTAGCTCTTTTGGGTGCCGGTACAGGCACAATGAGTCAAATGGCTTCCTTCTGTACTGTAGAATTCTATGATTCTACATCACTCCATGGAATTTGAGTTTTACACCTATGTCTAATGAATCCAAATCTACTTCTCCACCACCAATTGTGTTGTTGGAATTTTGTATTCAACATCAAGAGTTCTTGAGTCAGAACCTCTGTAGCAAAAAACCAAAGCCAAATTATTCAGCTCCTGCTAAAAACACCACACCCTTTCTGGCAAACAGCACATTCATAATTTTTAAGTGATTCAAGTTGTATCAACTGAACAAACAGAATATGATACTTATTAATCAGCAGATTACACTGCTTTATTGCACAGGAAAGCTAATCATTCGAACCCAATGTTGACTTGGTCTGCTGTAGAAAAAATACAGCCAAAAGAAGAGATATCATGCCTAAGTTATGCACACTAAGACATTACTGACTATATATTGTCAGTTTCAGCCACTCGGTAACGTTCCTACCTTGTCAGAAGGTTGTGGGTTCAAGTTCAGGTCTAGTTACTTGAACACCAAAATTGAGACTAAAATTTCAGAAAGAACACCGTATTGTTCAAAGTGTGGTCTTTAATGGCTCCTCAAACACCGTCTAATTTCTAAGGTGGATGTCAAAGAAGTCATGGTGCTACTGCAAAGAACTAAAAGAAATTAAACCTAATGAATCAGCTGGCATTGACAATGATAGCTGGGAACCTTGCAAAGTCCTCCTCCCTGGTGTCCTAGTCAATATTTATCAGTCAATCATGTCATAAAAATCAGTGTCTAGTCATTACCACATTGCTGTTAGCACATAAACCAACACGCATGCTTATGTAAGTGTGCCTGCAATGACGGAGGTGGAGTGTTAAGGAAGAAGAGTCTATCACTCTGGGAATAAGGCTTCAAATCCCAACAGGTTAGATGGTGGAATTTAAATTCAATTAATCAGGAACTTGAAACTGGTCTAGGCCTAACCATGAAACCACTCTAATTGTTCTAAGAACCCACTTGTTTCATTAGCATCCTCTAGGCAGGAAATTTGCCATCCTTACCGGGTCTGGTCCACATGTGACTACAATTCCACTAGCAAGCCTCCCAGTTCTATCAAATCACTATGAAGTCTACAAGAAATTAAACCTAATTGACCAGCTGGCATTGACAATGACAACTGGGAACCTTGCAAAGTCCTCTTCTCTCTCGGTTTGTGTCAAAATTTGGAGAGTTGTCCTAAGGACTAATCAGATAACAGCCTGACATACTCATGCTCACGGAATCATATCTTACCGACAACGTCCCAAAACCACTATCACAATCGCTGGATACACATAGTCCTACCAGAAGGAAAAAGCCACCAAAGGTGGCAGCTTGGTGGCACACCATCAAGGAGTTGTTGTCTGGGAGTCCTCAAGATTGACTCCAGATCCCATGATGTCTCAAGGCATCAGATCAAACATCTCTGCTAATTTCCACCAATTGCTCCTCCCTCAACTGATGAATCAAAACTCTTCCATGATGAACACAACTGGAAGAAACATTGACAAAA